ATTAAAATGCTCAAAGTGTAGTTCAAGTGACTATCTCACGTATTTTGGGTCGCCGAAACCGAATCCGATGCCATTCCACCTGTATCTGATCCCGTTTATCATGTACATAGTAAAAAATTGCAAAACTATGCGACATGTGCGACTTGAGTGTGCTGTCAATCAATTTTCTTTATGGCTATATCCTAACGATGCTATGTACGAGCCCCTTCCTACTTCAGTTGGCCCCCAACTATTGATATCTTAGTTTTTTTCTTAACAAACACAAATAATAAAAATGTCGCAGGGTGTTATAGGTTTAAAATATTAACAATGAATATTTTGACAATAGAAAACACCAACTTTATCACTTCCTAATCAAATTTGTATCTAAAATTTTTTTGAGAAAATAAATTGTTTTGGAAGTAAATAGTTTCGTCATGTTTAGTTTATACAGGCATATTTTGGTACAAATCTTGAAGTGGGCCAACTGAAGTGGGAAGGGGCTCGCACATTCAGCTGATTTGGGACCCGACGATAATTCGACATTTTTTGTTCATACGACAGTCAATTTTATATACTACATCGACACGCAACAAGATAGCCTCAAAATTACTCACAGCCCTGGGACGTAACTCCGTAAAAGTTGTTTATTTATTAAAAAATGATCAGACGGTCTCGTTGGGAATACACAGAACCGGGAAAGCTGTCGGGGAAGTTTCCACATCGGTTTTTAAACTCGACCTGACAGTTTCCCGGTTCCAAGATAAATAATCGGGAAGAGCAACGGTGGGTAGTGGTGGGTGGTACGTTAGAAAGGTTGCCAACAAATCGCGCGTTGGGTTTTTCACTTTTTGGTGGACCACTTCGGTAACAAGATGACACGTTAGCGTGCTTCTGAGAGAATAAATATCGGTTTTGTATTTTCGTCTGCCGGAAAATGAACTTTGTTGTTTAAAAGGTGTTATTGGCGGATTTTGCATCAAAATTATTTTATACTAAGTGACATATAAATCCGAACACCCAGTTTAAATGGTTTTATTTTAATAAAAATTGGTCATTCCGGTTTTTATACTGCTTTTTTTTAATTCACTAACGCTCTAAAAATGAATATTTCAGCCGCAGTAAAGACTCAACGTTGGCGGATTTTGGTTCTTGACATCCTTTACGATCGGTTACGATGCCTAGAGTGCGGAGACCTGTACGATTTCGTCAACTTAGTGAGTTTGATAGGGGCCGTATAGTGGGACTTCGGGAAGCTGGACTTTCTTTTCGGGCAATTGCAGTTAGAGTGCAAAGAAGTGTAGACACTGTGGTTAGGTGTTGTCAGGCATGGCTTCGAGAAGACCGTACGGAAAGAGCAAGGGGCACTGGACGCCGCCGTAGAACAACAGACCGTGAAGATCGCCGCCTAAGATTATTGGCCTTAAGGGACCGTTTCTCGACTACCAAGTCGATTTCAAATGAATGGTTTGCAAAACACGGAAGACCTATTGGCATGCGAAGTGTTTACCGACGAATGAGAAGTTTTGGCTTGTTTTCATACCGGCCACACTGGGTCCTCCCTTTAACTCGAGAACACCGACGCAATCGCCTTGAGTGGTGCAGACAACGGTCACTCTGGGATCAGGAATGGAACAGTATTGTCTTTAGTGACGAGTCTCGATTTTTTTTAGGCATGCACGATGGTCGTGCCGGGGTTAGAAGGCGACGTGGTGAATGGAGGAATCCACAGTTTTTTGTTGAAAGACATGTTCATCACAGTGTTGGAGTTATGGTATGGGGTGCTATAGCTTATGGTTCCAGATCACCTTTAATCTTCATCAGAGGTAACATGAACGCGCAGCGTTATATCCACGAAGTTCTAGAACCCCATCTTTTACCCTATCTTGACACCCTGGCAGATCCAACTTTCCAACAAGATAATGCCCGACCACATGTTGCAAGAGTCACAATAGACTTCTTTCAACATAATGATGTCACATTGTTACCATGGCCACCAAGATCTCCCGACTTATCCCCAATTGAGCACTTGTGGGATATGATGGGTAGGAGATTGCTCAATTTGCAACGTCCTCCTCAGACTCTAGAAGCACTTCGAGAGGAGTTGGTGGTTGCCTGGAATGAGATACCACAGGAGGACATTGACCACCTGATCAGAAGCATGCCTAGGCGCGTTGGAGAATGCGTAGCACATCAGGGTGCATCCACACATTATTAAAGATCAAAGGGCTTTAAAGCAGTGCAATCATTTTGAAATTTTTATCATTCACTTATTATGCTTCATTAAGTACTTATACAAAATTTTATTAAAATAAAACCATTTAAACTGGGTGTTCGGATTTATATGTCACTTAGTATATCTTGCCAATAGAGTTCCGCCTCTGTTCTCCAAAATCTATAAGCAGCTCTGTTGATGTGTGCAGTATCTCCCGGGAGAAGTTTTTGCTCTGAAATTGGATCAAAATTACGTTTCGATTTTGACGAGGCGACGTTTTCAGGTCGTTTCGTTCTATCGGAAAACCGGCTAGCGGCTGGAGAGGATATGAGAATGGATGAGCTGCGATCGGGAATTGCTTCTCAATATTTTTTCGCCTCTTTGCGCATGTCAGCGATGCTGCCACTTTCCTCCAAACGAGAATTGTTTCAGTTTCAAAGCTTGATGAATTTTTTTCACTACCAACTCGAGAAAATCAGCAATATTGACCGCAATGTTTAATAATAGTAATCTTTATTGCCCAACAGTCTCCGAATTACAGGACAATAATATACTAAGTGACATATAAATCCGAACACCCAGTTTAAATGGTTTTATTTTAATAAAATTTTGTATAAGTACTTAGTGAAGCATAATAAGTAAATGATAAAAATTTCAAAATGATTGCACTGCTTTAAAGCCCTTTGACCTTTAATAATGTGTGGATGCACCCTGATGTGCTACGCATTCTCCAACGCGCCTAGGCATGCTTCTGATCAGGTGGTCAATGTCCTCCTGTGGTATCTCATTCCAGGCAACCACCAACTCCTCTCGAAGTGCTTCTAGAGTTTGAGGAGGACGTTGCAAATTGAGCAATCTCCTACCCATCATATCCCACACGTGCTCAATTGGGGATCTTGGGGGCCATGGTAACAATGTGACATCATTATGTTGAAAGAAGTCTATTGTGACAACATGTGGTCGGGCATTATCTTGTTGGAAAGTTGGATCTGCCAGGGTGTCAAGATAGGGTAAAAGATGGGGTTCTAGAACTTCGTGGATATAACGCTGCGCGTTCATGTTACCTCTGATGAAGATTAAAGGTGACCTGGAACCATAAGCTATAGCACCCCAAACCATAACTCCAACAGTGTGATGAACATGTCTTTCAACAAAAAACTGTGGATTCCTCCTTTCACCACGTCGCCTTCTAACCCTGGAACGACCATCGTGCATGCCTAAATAAAATCGAGACTCGTCACTAAAGACAATGCTGTTCCATTCCTGATCCCAGAGTGACCGTTGTCTGCACCACTCAAGGCGATTACGTCGGTGTTCTCGGGTGAAAGGGAGGACCCAGTGTGGCCGGTATAAAAACAAGCCAAAACTTCTCATTCGTCGGTAAACACTTTGCATGCCAATAGGTCTTCCGTGTTCTGCAAACCATTCATTTGCAATGGACCTGGTAGTGGAGAAACGGTCCCTTAAGGCCAATAATCTTAGGCGGCGATCTTCACGGTCTGTTGTTCTACGGCGGCGTCCAGTGCCCCTTGCTCTTTGCGTACGGCCTTCTCGAAGCCATGCCTGACAACACCTAACCACAGTGTCTACACTTCTTTGCACTCTAACTGCAATTGCCAAAGTCCAGCTTCCGAAGTCCCACTATACGGCCCCTATCAAACTCACTAAGTTGACGAAATCGTACAGGTCTCCGTACTCTAGGCATCGTAACCGATCGTAAAGGATGTCAAGAACCAAAATCCGCCAACGTTGATTCTTTACTGCGGCTGAAATATTCATTTTTAGAGCGTTAGTGAATTAAAAAAAAGCAGTATAAAAACCGGAATGTCCAACTGATAAGGCTGAAAATTTGTTCACTTGTTATTTACAGTAAGATGAATACATTCACCAACTTTTATTAAAATAAAACAATTTAAACTGGGTGTTCGGATTTATATGTCACTTAGTATACATACAATTAAAACCAAACCAAATTATCATCAATATCTAAATAGGCTGGGAAAGTGATGGCGACCGTTTTTGTTTTATATATAGTCATGAAGTTATTTCAATGGATTATCGTCAAAAAGGAAAAACCATTACAAGAGCAAATGAATGAATAATGAAACTGGAATTAGAATACTACATTCTCTCTTCACAAAAACATATAGACAACAGATAATACCTGAGCAGTGGACAACAGGGTTGATTTGACCACTTTTCAAGAAAGGGGACAAGAAAGATTATAATAATTACAGAGGAATGATGCTGCTGTCTACAGTACTCAAGGCCTATGAACACATAATAGAGAATAAAGTTAATAGAGCCGACATTGTCTGAAACGCAAAGTGGCTTCAAAAAGGGAAGAAGTACTCAGGATCACATATTTACTATTAAAAACTTTATAAGTAAATTTCTACCAAAAGGAAAACCAATGTACATTGCCTTCATGGATATGGAGAAAGATTTGATAGAGTTACACGAAAAAACTTTGCTGGGAAGAAATGTTCCTGTAAAATTAGTGGAAGTGATCATGAGTATATACCACAAGACTAACAACCGAGAAATATCCTGAAATATGATGTTCGAAGAATTCGCTACTTCAGAGGGAGTACGTCAAAGTGGAGGGCTTAGTCCCCTATTGTTTATAGTATTTATGGATGATCTGATAAGATAATGCAGGAAAAGTGGATTTGGTGTTGGTAACTGGTAGTGTTTGGAGTCTACAGGAAAATTTGTACATTTGGAACACAGTACTAGAGATAATGGTATGAAACTAAATCAACTTAAAACTAAAGTTATGGCTGTGTCAAATGAAAAACTCAATATGGACGTAAGAATAGATAATGTAAAATTACAACAGGTGCATTCCTTGAAATATCTGGAAGCTATATTGGAACCTAATGGCAGAAATGAAATAGAATTTTCTGAAAGGATAGGAAAGGCGAACAACTTGTACTATACGATGAGTAAAGGTTTTATCAACAAAAAAGAAATGTCCAAGGAAACAAAAATAACAATATATAGACCTATATTGACATGGATGCGAATCCTGGATTCTATCGCAACAACAAAAAAGTAAACTTCAGGCAGTTGAAATGAAATACTTGAGACGAGTTAAAGGGGTCACCGAGATGGACAAAATAAGAAACGAGACTATAAGAACGGAGTTAGAGACAGAATCTATACTAGAACACATAGAAATGAAGCAGCTGAGATGGTGGGGACATTTGCAAAGAATGGGTGACAACATACCGGTGAAACAAGTTTGGGATAGTAAGGTGGTAGGAAAAAGGAGAAGGAGTAGGCCACAAAGAACAAGGGATAATACCATAGAACAGATATTGATGAAGAGACGAGCGGATTGGAGAGAAGCTAAGGAACTTGCTTTAAACAAAGAAGAATGGACTAAATTCATGTACAAATAATAGTAGGTTTTGTAATGTTTTGTTTAACCCTACACCCTTTAGGGTAAATGGGATTTTGATTATATATATAACTTGAGACGTGGTAATTGTCGTCTAGACCAGTTAGGTGAAAAACTAACGCTTCTGCCTTTTGTTGGGTACTTCGACAAAATTTAAGCAAAGAGGACTCTTTATACTTTTTTAATTCTCTCTAGCTTTCAATGGTCTTTGCCATCATCGTCAGGAGCTGTAATATCATTGAGAAAAATAGCAACAATTGTGCAAAATTAATTTAGATTAACACACAGTAGTATGTGAGGATGTTGCTAAATGTTATTTACGTTGATGATGATGGAAAACACCCAGTAACCTGGTGAATGCCGGATACTTTAGTCAAAATTATACAAAGTTTTAAATTCATTTTGCACAATTGTTGCTATTTTTCTCAATGTTATTACAGCTCCTGGTGATGATGGCAAAGACCATTGAAAGCTAGAGAGATTAAAAAAGTATAAAGACCCCTCTTTGCTTAAATTTTGTCGAAGTACCCAACAAAATGCGGAAGCTTTAATTTTTCACCTATATATATATATATATATATATATATATATATATATATATATATATATATATATATATATATATAATTACAGGAGCATATTACGCATCATTACTTGGCAATCTAAAGGCAGACCTTGCGGAAAAACGGCCACATTTGCGGAAAAAGAAAATCCTGTTTCACCCTATCGGTTGCCTTATACGAAAATCCACGAATTACGGTTTGAACTGCTTGACCATCCGCCTTAACCACCACATCTAGCTCCAAGCGACTTGTTTCTGTTCCCTCATCTTAAAATTGCGCTCAGAGGACAGAGATTTTCGTCAAATGATGAGGCATCATCTTCGCGAATAATTACTTTTCAGAGAGAAACGTCGCGTACTATTTGGACGGGTTACAGAGATGGGAGCATCGCTGGGAGAAGTGTATCTTACGTATTTTGAGACAGTTAAATCAAATCTAAAAACAGATTTTTTCTATCAACCACAGATATTCGGTATCATCTACTTAATACGTAACATCTCATATTGCCGCATTTCTCGGCGTTTATGCGATGACGCACATATATAATGTTAAGACTTGTCTATTCCTGTTTATTATATGCGAGCTCTATGTTTAGAGAGCATTAGTAGACTAATAGCAGCCGAGTCAGTTACGTTTTCTGTGTTGAAGAGTACTGAGATGTTCTGAGTACTGTTAATTTTTCTTAAAACGGTGTGTTGTTTTTAGTTTGTCGTGATCGAGACTAGCTTTATGGACAATGCCTAGAAATTGTGTAAATGGTGCGAACAGATTTTGTTAAGTGTGCGGAGAGCTAACTTTTACATCCCAAAAACATACTTTTACTCCCCGTGTATTGAAACCATGCGAACTTTATTTTGGAATTAAAGTTGGCGACCAAGACAAACTATGGGCACCTCATAGATGTTGTAAGACTTTTGTAACGTTGTTAATAGGTTGGTTAAGAGGCGGTACCAACGGTTTGGAGATAACCGAGAGACCATACTACCGATTGCTATTTTTTCCTCACAAAAGTTAAAGGTCTTGGACTAAAATCGAAGTGTTGCGTATTTCAATTTGCCATCAGCTTTGCGGCCCGTTAAGCATAGTGATGAACTTTCTGTCCCTGTTCCACCAGAATCTTGGTCTTTGGATGAAAAAGTCGAATCCACCGATTCTGAAAGTGACGGTACAGAAAGCGTACAAATTTCCGATCGTTTGACCTGCCAGGATGTTCAACAGCGCCGCATTTGATCACACAGGGCGGACTTAATGACTTAGTTCGAGAATTAAAGCTGTCAGAACTTTTGGCGTCAAGATTAAAACGGTGGAATCTTCTCCACAGTAATGCTAACATTACTTTTTACCGAAAACGGTAACACGCACTGTTTCCGTCAAGAAAGGGAGTTGATATATCGCTCTGATGTCAACAATTTGTTTGCTTATAAACATGTCTCTGAAAATTCACTTTTTGGATTCTCATCTCGAAAAAACTGTATCAAGGCAAATTTAGTGTCAATTTGCTTGCTGATTATTGCTGAACAATGTTTATTCCTGTGTTTATTAGTACTCTTACGCACATATCCTTATATTTTACGAGCATGAGCAGCAAATAAAATGGCTTATTGCAAGAAGACCGTGGGTGCTGGAAAAAATCGAATGCTATATCCGGCTTTTTGAGTACGTTTTACATATTAACCACCTTGTTTTGTCCATGTCACAAAAAATTATTTTTATTTCGTTCACCAGTGAAATCAGAAAAATTGTCTTGTATCTTTGTTACGTCTGAAACTTTTTAGAGCACCCTCGTAAACCGCGCACTAAGATCTTTACAGTGCCACTCTGCTAGCTGCGGTACACTCTCGCAGCGGTCGATTCCGGTAATAGATGGCGCTTTGTGCTGTCTTCTTTGAATGGCCTATGAAGCTCTACCGGGAAATAGCCGTCATCGTGTACTCGTACCGTAATGCAAGACGTGCGTACGCGTACAGCAGCGGCACAAATTAATCGCTTTTTGACAATTAAGCATCGTAATTTATGCCCGCTGACTGCCGGCGCTCGTTCGCGGAATGACAATAAAACGTGATTTACGGCTCGTTCCTGCAAATCGCGCCAATGTTCCCTGAAGGATTAATGCTCGAGACGACCGGCTGCCTTGCAACGTCCGCTTTTCCAACATCCGAGTACGCCATGACGGATGCGACTCCGTTTTATGGATCATACTTTATTAATTGCTTTTGTAATTTCATATACGGGGGGCTGTCGATATTTCGTACCACGCATTTTTAGACTCAAAATAAGTTCTTTGTTTGTCCGTTAGAGGACATAAGTTTTCTATTTCAAAGGTATTTTAAGAACGGATGGTGCAATTTGGTTGAAATTTTAAATACTTGTGCTTTGCTGGACGTTCAAATATTTGACTTTTGCAAAAAAATCTGAAGGGTTCGAGAATGATGAAAAATACCCCTAATCCTACATCAATTATACCAGAATGTTTAAGCAACTTTCGCAACGACTCTGAATTTTTTATTTAGCAGAAACAGGCCACGGATCGTTTTCGAGAAAAAAAAAGAGTTTAATCAGGAGATTCACCAGCGTCTTATTAATTACACTGATCAACAGCCAAAAAATATCCTAAATAAAATCAACAAAATATTACTATTTTTAATGTGCTAAAACCGGAATGAAACTTATTTTTTCAATATTAGTTCAAGTTTTAGAGATACGGTAATTATATGTGTTCCTGCTGTGACAGTGTTAATATACTGTAATTCACAAGAATGCACATGCTACATTTTTATATTCGGCAAGGAAAGATGATGTAATCGGCATGATTGTGTTACGTTATACATACGTGTACATTATATTGTTTTATATTAGCCATTTTTCCCTCAGTTGGCTGACAGCGTTCATGCAAGATGTCTCGAAAGTGTGTAAACAATCCAGATCAGTTTTGTTACGTGTGTGGTGATGTGACTTTTGCGTCTCAGAGACGGTCTATTACTCCACTAATAACAAAGGCATATCAGCTTTATTTCGGTTGTAAACTAGGTGATCAAGACAAACAGTGGGCACCCCACATCTGCTGTTAATACATGTGCTTCAAGTCTGAGGAGCTGGTTAAATGGCAAAAAACGGTGTATGCGCTTTGCTGTCCCAATGGTTTGGAGAGAGCCCACAAATCATATTAATGATTGTTACTTTTGCATGGTACCTTGTGTTGGACAAGCCACAGGTATGTCCAAGAAAAAAAAATCGGTTATTAACTACCCAAACATACCATCTGCGATGAGACCTGTGCCTCACAGTGACGAAAATCCTATTCCAAAACCCCCAGAATCCTACACTTGCGAATCAGAAAACGAATCAGATCATGGCGATCGAGTGATTCGTCAGGAAGAAGATATGCCATCAACGTCAAGAGATCCTGATTTTATACCGAGCACGTCATGCCACCAACCGCACAAAATAACACAGTCAGAATTAAATGATCTTGTAAGAGATTTAGAACTTCCAAAATGTAAGGCAGAGTTACTTGGATCAAGACTGCAGCAGTGGAACTTGTTAGAAGACGATGTTTCGGTATGTGTTTTTCGTAAACGCCACAAAGACTTAGAACCATTTTTCAATATGGAGAATAACTTGGTTTTCTGCAGTAACATTAACGGCTTACTGGCGGCTTTAAATATAAACTATAACCCAGAAGAATGGAGATTGTTTATAGACAGTTCAACATTGAGATTAAAGGCAGTGTTATTGCATATTGGAAATATTTTACCATCTCTTCCTGTAGGGTATGCAGTTCACATGAAAGAATCATATGACAATATGAAGTACCTATTGACATGCATAAAATACGATGAGCACCAATGGCATATTTGTGGCGATTTGAAAGTTGTTTCACTTTTACTTGGGCTGCAGCTAGGCTACACAAAGTTTTGCTGTTTTTTGTGTGAATGGGACAGTCGGGCAAAGGCACTTCATTACACCAGACAAAACTGGCCTGTTCGTCAATTCTTAGAGCCAGGTCAAAAAAATGTACAGCATATGCCATTAGTAGATTCGAAAAAAAATGTATTACCACCACTGCATATCAAGTTGGGCCTAATGAAAAAC